GTGGACAACGAGCGGTCCACGCAAGGACATCGCGGGTTTCTGGAAAGTTGGCAGCCCAAACGCGGAAAACGCAACGCGACCCGACCGCCCCCTCCAAAACAAGAAACGCGCTCAAAGAAAGCTCCGCGACTCTCCGAGGCTGAGATAGGACAAGAGCGAGGGGAAGGGAGTCAATAAGAGATGTAAGAGCGGACGAGCCAGCGATCCCGTGCGCTCTGAAAGTAAGTGCGCTTTCCGTCCCCGTGCCAAGCAGGTCTAATTGCCTTCCCGCCTCGCTTTTTATCGAGTAGGACGGCCTTCGGGGCTTAAAAACAGCGTTTCGCTCGAGACATCATCGGAGAACGCTTCTTGGGCGCTTCTTGGGCCATCTTAGGCGCCTAAGACAACCCAAGAAGCGGCCAAGACTGCGCCCAAGACGGCCCAAGACGGTCCAAGAAGCGCCCAAGACGGCCCAAGAGCGTTCCAAGAGAGCTCAAGACCGCCACTGGCGGCCCCAAGACATCCCAAGAGGCCTCCACGACGCCCCAGGAGGCGCCCACGAGGCGTCCCAAGAGGGCCCCAAGAGGCCAAAAGCATTGATTGTCTTAAGGAAAACGTTCATTTTTAGCATATACGGTTGTTCGCTTTTCATGGCGTTGAAGACGGTCCAAGAGGCCCCCAAGACCGCCCCAAGACGGCCCAAGATGTCCCCAAGAGGCCCCCAAAATAGCCCAAGAGGGCGCCAAGACGGGCCAAGAGGCGATCAAGACTGTCCAAGAGGCCCCCAAGAGCGCCCCAAGAAGGCCCAAGAGGCCCCCAAGAAGGCCCCAAAACGGCCCAAGAGGGCGCCAAGACGGCCCAAGAGGCGCCAAGACGGCCCAAGACGGCGCCAGGACGGCCCCAAGAAGGCCCCAAGAGGCCCCCAAGAGAGCCCAAAGACGGCCAAAGGCAGCTTAGTCCCTTCACCCCCACAGCCCAGAAGCCCCCAGGAGGCCCCCAGAGGCCCCCGAAAGACCCCAAGAGGCACCCAAGAGGCACCCCAAGAGCCCCCCAAGAGGCCCAACATACTCCAAAAGGCTCTTAGCACCGCGGCTCTCAAGAGCGAGCGGGGACGTAATCGAGTTGATAAGACCAAAGCTCCCAACAGAGAGCTGCTGCGTAATAAGTTCTTGACGCCAGGGCACAGGGACGGGCGGCAACGCGTGGACAACGAGCGGTCCACGCAAGGACATCGCGGGGTTTCTGGAAAGTTGGCAGCCCAAACGCGGAAAACGCAACGCGACCCGACCGCCCCTTCCAAAACAAGAAACGCGCTCAAAGAAAGTTCCGCGACTCTCCGAGGGGGGGGGGGGCCAACAAGAGGTGTAAGAGCGGACGAGCCAGCGATCTCGTGCGCTCTGAAAGTAAGTGCGCTTTCCGTCCCCGTGCCAAGCAGGTCCAATGGCCTTCGGCCCATCCCGCCACCGTGCTTGGGCTATGGGTATGCAGCTTATTTGATGTTCGTTCGAATTTCGTGGCAGGCTTTTCGGGGGGCCTCTTGGAGGCAGTTTGGACGCCTCTCGGGAGCCGTTAGGGAGCCTCTTTTGTGCCTCGTATGGGCATATTTTGCTTGGGCCCCTTGGGACCTCCTGGGCGCCTCTTGGGGCCTCCTGGGGCCGTCTCGGAGCCCTCTTGGGCAGTTGTGGGCGTCTCTTGGGCTGCCTTGGGACCCGCTGGGCCGTTTTGGGGCCATCTTGGAGGCCTCTTGGGGCGGTGTTGGGGGCCTCCAAGGCCGTCTGGGAGCGTCGGGAAGCCGAAAAGGCGAGACCGCCAAATCATACAAACACCAAGGGATGATCAATGATTTGGGCCTCTTGGGCGGCCCCTTGGAAGCTTCTTTGGGCGTCTGAGAGGGCCTCGTGGACCGTCTGGGGGCCATCGTGAGCGTCTTGGAGGGATCGTTCGGCGACTCGGGGCCCTCGTGGACCGTCCTCGGGGCTTTGGGAGGCCTTCTTGGCCCGTCTTGAGGCCCTCTTGGGCCCGAAACATCAAACAACACTCGTGGGAGCCCAGGGGCCACGCCCCACGCCCCAAAGAGATTTTGGCCCGAGGGGCACCGAGCCCCTTAAGATTCTTCAGGAGCGAGGAATGAGGCTTAGAGGGGTAGTGAGAGGACCTGCGGACACGCCCACTCCGTGCCCAGCGGCACGGTGGCTGATGTTTCCCCACTCAGAGTTTGCCCCTGTATGGGGTCCTAGCAGATTCATATACTTAGTTGAGTTTTGCCGCCGATTTCCGCGGCCCGCTCGGGTGCCCAGGTGCCTGGGTGCTCTATAGCCCCATAGCCCTATAGCTCTATAGCCCTATAGCCTCATAGCCTTATAGCCTAAGAGCCCCATAGCCCAAGCGCCCTAGAGCTCTATAGCTCTATAGCCCTATAACCCTATAGCCCCATAGCCCTATAGCCCTATACCCCTATAGCCCTGTAGCCCTGTAGCACTATAGCCCTATAGTCTTGTAGCCTTATAGCCCTACAGCCCTATAGCTCTATATGCCTATAGCCCCATAGCCCTATATACCTATAGCCCTATAGCCCTATCGTCCTACAGCCCCATCGCCCTACAAACTCATAGCCCTATGGCCCTATAGCCATATAGTCCCAGAGCCCCAGAGCCCTATAGCCATATGGCCATATAGCCCTATAGTCCTGTAGCCCTATGGCCCTATAGTTTCATAGCCCTATAGCCCCATCGCCCTACAGCCCAATAGTCCCATAGCCCTATAGCCCTAAAAAGACTTGTATTGGGGTTTTCTCCAGTATCATATCTTACTTACTCCATTCCATTTCCCCCAACAGCGCTTGCATTTAGGTGTTCTTACTTCAGTTCTAAGGCACTGGACTGGTGTGGCGATCTGGCGGCTATATTGTCGCCGTCGCCGCCCCGTCACAGCCTCGACGCCGCTCGTCGGCTGGGCCGGTGTGGCGATCTGGCGGCTATGTTGTCGCCGTCGCCGCTTCGTCGCCGCCCGTCGTTTCGGCCGGTGTGGCGGTCTGTCAGCTATGTTGTCGCCATCGCCGGCCCGTCGCCGCCTCACATTGATTCTCTTTTCTAGAAGAATATCAGGATCTACCCCACCCTGGGGTTATCGGGCCAGCCTCGCGCATTGCAATTTACATATGACCCTGCCTCCATGCTCATTTCCCCCCATGACCTCATACCATCCCGGCCGGGTCAGAGTTCGCCCCCCCTTCATCCTCTGCAAAAAATACGATGTCCGCGCACATCAAAAATCTTAAGTGTTCAAGAGTTCCCCGGAAAAAATTGAAAACCAACAAAAAAAACAAAAAAAAAAAAAAAAAAAAAAGAGAGAGAGAGAGAGAGAAAAAAAAAACAAAACAAACAAAACAAAAAAAACACGGGACGAAGCGCACACGCGCGCGTCGTCGCGCGCGCATGCCGAAATCCTTCAAAAATTTCGGGTTAGCGCGGCCGCAGAGATGCACCAGCCAACCCCAATCACTCATCGCAATCGCCGCCGCATGGGCTTTGCTGACCAAATTGCGGGTGGGTGGGTGGGATGTTTGCCAGAGCGCGACATGTGTCAACTGATTTGTAAAAATCAACTGCACCGCATATATTTTACCGTACATATTGCCCCGCATAGATTGTACCACATAGATTGCAGCACATTCTTGCGCTACATTGATTGCACAGAATACACTGCACCACGTATAGCTCACAACCTAGATGCGCACCACATAGATTGCACCACGTAGACTGCACAACATGAATCGTAACACAACATTGCACCACATAGATTGCACCACATATCACATCGATTGTTCAATTTTGATTGCACCGCATAGATTGCACCCAATAGATTGCACAGCATAAGTTGCGCCAGACAGAGTGCATCACATAGATTGCAAAGCATAGATCACACCAAATAGAGTGCACGACACAGGTTGCATCGCATATGTTGCATTTCCTAAACTGGACCACATAGTTGCACCACATCGATTGCACTGCATTGATTACACACCACAGACTGCACCACAGTGATTGCACCACATAAATTGCACAAGATAAATTTCACCACATGGATACGCACCAGATAGATTGGACTATATAGAGCGCATGACCTGTACTGCACAACATAGATCGCGCCACATAGATTGCACCACCGGTATTGCCCCACTTAATTAGCTTGCACAACACGTAGTGCTAGAAGCACACCGTTTGGGGTCCACAAAGGCTACCATATTGTGTATTCCTATTGTACCCGGAATGGGCTCGACTTTCTACATGTACTATTCCCTATTCTGTGCCACACTATTCTAATCGACCCTATTCGGAATGACTCGACTCAACCATCTATTATTTTCTGTTCTACCCGAACCTATTCTTATTATACCCTATTCTACCCTACTCTACTCTACTCCAGTCCTCTCCTACTCCACTCGTTTCTCGTTCTACTCTATTCCAATACACTAGCCCATGTTCTGCTCTGTTCTAGCCTACTCCATTATCACAAGCTCCACTCGACCATCTATCCGTAGCCATTTTGGCTCAAGCCTGCCTGGGCGCCAGGCAGGCGAGGAACGCGCCGCGTCTGTCTCTTCATCGTAGGGGGGGGGGGGGGGGGGCGGCTATGCATCTTTCCCCTCCTGCGCGGCACAGGCAATGGCGATGGTCGAGCGCAGCCAGGCGCTGCTCGCGCGGGCAGCCACGGCGGGGGCGGCCGAGGGCGGCAGAGGGCGCCAACGCCGACACCCCGCCGCCGCCGCTGCGGCTGCCATCCCGCCTGCTGCGGCGGGGGCCCGGCATGCCGAGTGCGGCAGGGGCGCCGACGCGGTGCCCGCCGCGGCGCGCGGGGTCAGGCGGCGCGGCCGCGACCCGCAGCGCCGCGGGAGGGCGTCCGAGGAGGAGGTGGGCCTGGTGCTAAGTCGGGCCTGACCCTCTACAGGAGGAATATTCGAAAGTAGCCAAAAAATAGTCTGGGGACGATGTTTGATAATTTTTTGGCTATCTGGGTTTTCTGAGTATGTTTTAGTTTTCGGCCAAAATCCCCCTGTAGGGGGACATGCCCGACCTAAGCCTGGTGGAAGCGTCGCTCGCCCCTGTCCCAGCCTTACCTTGGCGGGCTGTTCGATGGCGATTGGGGCAAGCTCGAGCGGAGCTCCACTTGGCAGGAGGTGCCGGGCGAGGAGCTGCTGGAGGTGGAGGCGACGCATGAGGCGGGAGGCAGCAGTCCAGGGAGCAGAAGGAAATCGAGCTTGCGGAGGTCACGCGGAGGAGGGCCCGGCAGGCGGCAAAGTCCGTGGATTTCTCGAAGCAGCTCGGTCTCAAGCACGAGGAGGCGCAAGCCATGGCAGAGGAGTTGAAGGCGTCCGTCGCCGCGTCGGCCGCAGCGATCGAGGAGGCGGAGGGCGGCGCCCGCGGCGGAGCGCGATGGTTTCGCCCAGGAGCTCACGGAGAGCAGGTCTGCGGCCTGGCTGCTCAAGGGCGCGGCAAAGCTCGCGACACTGAGCGGGGAGCATGGCGACGGAAACTCGACACGTCGGGGGCGCTGAAGGGCGTCGAGCTGACGTCCGAGGCACTGGTCAGCGAGGTCACGGAGCCGAAGGCGATGGCACGGGCGCCCAGGGCGGAGCTCGGCCACTCCCGCATGGCCACCGGGCAGCTGGAGGACGGGGCCGCGCGGGCGCTTGCCGCGGCGAGCGCGGCGGTCGGCGGCCCCCCTCCTCGCGCCCGGCTGCGCCGCTGCCCGGGCGCCCGAGCGTTTTTGCAGAGGTCTGCACGGGAGGCTTCTCCCGCCGCGGCTGCGCAGGCCGCCTCCCTGTCAGGCCCGAGCACGCCCGCCTCGCCCCATGGCACCCGGCAGGGGTGCTGGGGCGTGGAAGGCCCGGCGGCGGAGATTGGCCACAGGCGCGCCCTGCCCCACCCCCCCCTTCGTCGGGGTGTGGCTGGCGGCCAGGTGCGGAGATTCGGCCACCTGTCCGAGGCACGCCTCTTGCACTCGACCTGCTCCCGCTCATCCTGACCCGTTCGGCACTACTCTTCTCTACGCCACCCTGCTTCCTCTGTTCTGCTCCAACTCGATGTTTTTTCTGATGTCTGAAACGTTGCGCTACTCCATTAAATTATACCCGGTTCTACTCTACGGTTTACCTATATTTCTGTCTGCTTGTTTACATATTCTAACATACCCTACCATGCCCGACCCTAAATTAGTAGATTCTATTTTATGGTGAAGGCTTGATGGCTGGTGCCGCCGACCTTGACGACGACGACGACGACGACGACGACGACGACGACGGCCACGACGGCGACGACGACGACGACGACGACGACGACGACGACGACGACGACGACGGCGCCAGCGGGGGCGGCGGCGACGACGACGTTGACGTAGGGCAGAGGCTTCCTGGGAGCGTTTCGGGGCCGAGGGTCCGAAAGGTTCGGTCGGGCTCCCGTGTGGGCACCCTCCTGGAGCGGTTTGGGGGGCTTCGGGGGCCGTTTGGGGGGCCTATGTGGTTGTGTTGGGGGCCCCGTGTGCCGATCTTGGTGGTATCTTGGGCCGTCGTGGAGCGTCGGGAAGCCGCACAGGTGAGAACGCCAGTATCATTCAAAAGCCGACAGAGAAGAATTGCATTTGCCTGTTAGGGGCCCTCTTGGTGTGCTTTTGGAGGCCTCTTCGAGACTCTTTGCAGCCGCTCGGGCTGTGAGGAGGCCATCTCTGGCGTCTTGGACCGATTGCTCGGCGATTCGGGGCCCTGCTGGACCGTTTTGGGAAACTGTTAGGTTGTCTTCGGGCGTTTCGGGGTCCCAGGACCCCCGGGGACCCCATCCACCCCCCCTTCCCCATCCCCCCTTCCACCCCCCACCCCCCCTGAGGGGGGGAAGAAATCAAAGAAAAGGGACTCCCTTTCGAGTCAACTGAGACGTTGCTCAAGTTCGGTTTGGCTTCGCTTTCGCTGGCGCGCCTGAGGGCTCGGTTCGGTTTCGCTGTGGCTGGCACGCTGGAGGACGAGGACCCAGCGATTGCGACGACGACGACGACGACGCCGACGCCGACGATGACGACAGCGTCGTCCACACGCCGAAGGGCCAGCGGGTTCCCCAAACGGTGCCTGCGCTTCCCTTCTGACTGGGTAGTCGAAGGCCAGACTGTCAGATTGGATTGGGCCCCAAGGGCCAATCTGGCCTGGCCAAACTGGATGATTTGGGTTATTCGCCAGACTGGATTCGCGTTGGCTCCCTCGCCAGATTGCCCCCGCTCGCCAGATTGGGCCTGCCAGATTGGCTTCGACTACCCTTCTGAGGCCCTTAGAAGTTCCGCTGCCGCCCCGGCCGGCTCGGCTCCTCGCCGCCCGCCGCTATAGCCGCCGCCGCCGCTGGCCCTTGGGGCCCCGGTGCCGCCCCGGCCGGCTCGTCGCCGCCCGCCGCTGCTCGAGAGGGAGAAAAAAAAACACACAGAGACACAATGAGTCGTCGAGTCCCCGGGAAATATGGGGAAATAGGGGAAGTGGGGAGAAGACACAACCCCAGAAGATGGCACCGCTGGCACTTGGGCCCCGATGCCACCCCGGCTGGCTCGTCGCCGCCCGCCGCTACTCAAGAGGGAGAAAAAAAAACACAGGCACAATGAGTCGTCGAGTCCCGGGAAAGTATTGGGAAATAGGGGAAGTGGGGGGAAGACACAACCCCCCAGAAAAAAATAGGAAAAGCTGGGGAGTGCTGTTATTTGTGTGCATTTGTTTGTGTTTGTGTGTCCTGGGGCCCCTTCGGCTACCGCCGTCGCCGCTGGCAACTGGGCCTCGGTGCCTGTGCGGCCGGCTCGTCGCCGCCCGTCGCCGCGGGAGTGCACTGCGGGATTGCGCTCTGCGTGTTTTTTTTGTGAATGGCTTGGCATCGCAGTGCAATAGGACCGCGGGCTGCAATCGCATCGTACTGATCTGCACTACGCTGCTGCGCACTGCTTTGCACGGCAGTCGCAATCGCAGTCGCAATCGCAATCGCATCGCAATCGCACTGCAATCGCACTGCAGTCGCACTGCGTTGCATGGCTACGCATGTCGTTGCATTATTGTTGCGCCACATAGATTTCACCACATGGATTGCGCCACCTAGACTGCACCAAATTGATCACACCACCTAGATTGCGCCGAAAATATTGCAAAATATCACTCTTCTAGTCTCTGCTCGGTTATACTCCTGTTCTAGTCTCCCCTACACCTTCACTCTGCCCTACTCTCTTCGAGTTTGCTCGATGATGCTCCACTCTATTCATCCACCCGTTTCCATTCTACGACGTCCTGCTCTCATCGGCCCTACTTTGCTTCTAAGTTTGAGGATTGGTGGGGCGCCGTTGGAGCAGCCACAGGGAACCGTGGGAACAGCAGAGGAAGCCGTGCGGACAGCAGGGGAGGCCGCCCGGGTTGGGCACGCGGGGCGCGCGGCTGCCTCGCCCTGGAGCCCCTTCGCGAGCTCCGACCAGGCCCTGCCTGCCCAGGGACGCGCCCCCGGGAGGTGCTCGGCGGTCCGCTGCAGGTGGTCTCGGGCGGTGGCTGGGGCCGACCCGAGCACATCGTTCTCCTCGAAGCCACCTCCTCGCAGCAGGGCCTGTCGTGGTGGTCGGCTCTGGAGTCGCGTTGCCCCTCGCTTCTCCAAGACCTCCTGCTTCCCGACGCGTTGCAGGAAGGGTCTGCAACAGGGGGACGTCGCCTCCGTCCCCTCCGTTCACCTAAACTTAGTGAGGCTGAGAGGAGAAAGAACAAATCGCTGCCCTCGAAGACAGAGCTCTCGTCCACGCACTGCGCCGTGCCCTACGAGACTGGCGGATGGTCTCGGACAGCCCGTCGTCCATCCCGGCTCTGACCACACGCCTCTCATCCTCGCGCCGGGCCTGCCCGTGGTCTCCCGCGCCAGTGAGCCGCACGGTTCCCCGTCTGCCACGCGACGCCGACGATGCGCGGGCCGCCCTCCGAGTGGAATCCCGCTGGCGCTCCGTCGAGGCGGCGCATCCCGGTCGGCATCTGGCTCCACTTCTCGCGCGGCCCTAACGTTGCCGAGGTCGGCCGCTGGCCAGAGAAGGGCGTCGCCGATGGCAGCCATCGGCGAGACTGTTGTCCTGTGGCCCCGCCCTCGCGAACCCCAGAGATTCGATGTCGTGCTTTTTTTATTGCGCGGGGCCCCCGCAATTCTCGATCCATTCCCCAGGGCCGACTTTTTCATCCCAAATCGTCATTTGAGGGTCCCGGGGCCCGGCGAGGGCCCTCAGAGGCCGACAATTGCCAGAAATTTCCGTCTTGATCTTTCCCATGCGCAGAGTGGCCCCATGTGGCACAAGGTCAGCCCTGCGAGGCCGACATCTGCGAGAAACCTCCTCTGGGGTCCTGCGGCGCGTGGCCCCGTGTGGCACGAGGTTGGCCCTGCGAGGCCGACAACTGCGAGAAACCTCCTCTGTGGCCCTCCGGCGCGGCGGCGTCGCCCCCCCTGCCGCTGGGGCCCCTGCGGCCGCGGCCAGAGAGCTCGGGCGGCCGGGCCCCCCCCCAGCGGCGGCCGCGGCCAGGCGCGGCCCGCCCCCGCGCGGGGGCCGCGCCCGCGCCCGCGGGAGCGCCCGGCCGAGCTCGCGGCGCCCTGGGCGCGCGCGGCTGCAGCAGGGGTCGGTCAGCCCGAAGACGCTTCGGGTTTCGGGGTCTGGGGGTCTGGGGGTCTGGGGGGTTGTTGGGGTTTGGGGATTGGGGTTTGGGGGTTGGGGGTTGGGGGTTTAGGGTTTGGGGCTCGGGGAGGGGGGAAGGCTTCTCAGAAGCACCCCGGCTTCCCAGAGGGCGCGGGCCTTGTCTGTAGACGTAGGGCCACCGCCTGCTAAGAAGCGGCTCGCTTCTAAGAAGCCTGCCCCCCTCCCCCCACCCCCTGGTGCGCGCCGCCAAACGTTGGGCCACCTGCCAGGCAGCCCGGGAGTCCAAGGCTGCCCGGGCGCCTTTCTTCCCAGACCTCTTCGCGCTGCGAAAAAACTACGGCGGGAGGCGTTTCGCTAGTTTCGGCCTCCGGGGGCCCTTCCCGAGCCTCGGGACCGTCAAAACATGACTCAGGATGAGAAACCAGTCCGCGGGAAGGGGTCCAGACCTCTGGGGGTCGACGTTGTGAAAAAAGCACGACGTCCGGGGTCTGGGCTGGGCGCGTGACCCACGCCTTGGGCGCAGGATTCACGTCGGGACTTGGCGGCGCAGGGGCCCCCTGAGGCACGCCTCGGTGGCGTGGCGTCGATAAGGTGCACTGGGCGCCTCCTTGGGCACCTGCACCTGGGCCAGGTTCGCGAGCTGTCGGCCGACGTCCGCGACGGCGGAGGCCAAGCGACCGCGAGAGCGTCAGGGGCAGAGGGCCCCCATTCACAGACCTCCTGGACGAGAGGTTGGCTCGCTGGATGCACGACGAGTGCCTAGAACGGCGAGCCAGCGCACGCGGGGTCGCTGATGCTCGCGGTTCTACTTGCCAGAGTTCGGCCGAGGCGGGCTCTGTAAGCCACCGTCTGTTGGCCAGTCCCAGCGGGCCTGGACGCGGCTGGCCCTGCCGCGCGCTGCTGCCGCTGCCGCGGAAGGCGGCGGCACGGATCGCGACGCAGCTTGTCCGCGACGGCTACCGGACCTCGGCGTGCTCGCGGCGTTGGCGTTCCATGGCTGCCTCGGGCCCCGCCAGGGTTTCAAGCCGACTCGCGAGGTGGCGGTGCCGCCCACGCTTGGCAGCCGCTTGGCCCCTAGTGCTGCACCCTTTCGAGACAGCGGCGGCCAGCAAGACACACCAGTTCGACGAGTCCGCGGTGGTGGACGCGCCGGACTTCAAGGCGCTGCTCGACCCTGCCGTGCGGTGGCTCAGGCAGGCCACGCTGGCGGGGCGGCCACTCTTCGAGTTTAGCTAGGCCGATTTCGTCGAAAGATCCCGCTGGGCCGCCCGCTGCTGCGGGGTCGAGGTGCTGAAGCCGGAGCAGTACATGCCGCGCCACCGCGACCCGATTTCCGGCCAGGCGATCGAGTGCCGCACCCTCAGCAAGATCAAGCTCAGGGGGCGGTGAATGTCGGATTCGTCGGTCCAGAGGCACCGCGCAAAGGGCCACGTGGCGGACCAGCTGCGTCGCCCGCCATCCGATGTCCGAGCTGAGGCCATGCTGGCGGCAGTCGAGCTGAAGTCTCTCCTTGGACGACCTTCGACCTTCGGGCGCCCGCTTCCCACCGGGCCGCGCCGGCAGGTGCGACCCTTGCTCAAAAATCGAAAAAACGATTCATCCAAGCACCCAGAACCAGCATTTTGGGGCGATGTTGATGGCGGCCGCTCTGGCGCTTTTGGCGGGGCGGAACTGCGACCAAATGAGCGACCGCCCAGCCCTGGGCGCCTCTGCATTCCAGCTCACAGCAGTGCGGTATTCGCGTGAACACGGGAGGTGCTCCCAACCACCGCCATCCCCAGGCCACGGACGACGGGCACAATGCCACGCTACCCCCCACCCTCTGGCACATGAGTGGTCACCTCGGCCGCCGAGGTGATGTAAGCAATCCAGTGCGAACGGCTCTGGTCTTGAGTGCTACCACTGCTTCGGCACCCAGCATCGAGGCCTGCCTCGACAGCGTGCGGATTGCATTTCTCCCCCCCCCTCCACCTCCTTAGCGCCAGCAGGTCGATTCAGTCTTTTTAAGCAGCTCGGCAGGCACAGACACTTCCGAAAACAGAACCCAGGCGAAGATCCCTGGGGTCTTTGTGAATTCGTCGCAGCGTCACGGCAGGAATTTTAGAATGCCCTTTTCACGTGCCCACTTAGGTTTCACGCGCCCAGTAGGGCCAGCGGCAGTGAGAAATAAAGATGACAGACACGTCCCATGCATCCCGCCTTGCTTCGCAGACGTGCCCACCCTCGTTGCGATGCGGCATTTCGTTCAACGTGCCGCCGCATCGGCACCGGGGCCCGACGGCATCCCCATGTAAAGCCTGCATGCCTCCGTGCTAATTCGTATCGTTCGATGCTCCATTCCTGAAGCCTGCGGTGGACGAGTGACGAGTGGATCGGCTGGATGATCGTCGCGCCTTACCCTTTTTCCTCCTCTTCCTCCTCTTCATCTTCCTCCTCCTCCTCCTCCTCCTCCTCCTCCTCCTCCTCCTCCTCCTCCTCCTCCTCCTCCTCCTCATTTTCCTCTCTCTCTCTCCAATAGATGCGCGTGCTGGAGAAACGAAACGCCTGCACAGCTCCGAGGCCACATGGCCATCGCCGAAGTCCACGACACCATGGATGCGACCGGCATGTGGAGATGAGACCACCCCCGACCCAGTCAGCCATCAATCATTCGCTGTTCTTGGCCGCGCCAGCAGGGGCTACGGCCTGTGGCTCCTTCACCTCCCCTCTCTCCCCGTGCGCCAGCATCTCCGCAGCCCCGCATGCGAGGCACGCTGCGAGGACTGCCGGCCTGCCGCCTGTGCCGCAGACGCAGGATCGAGGACACCACGGCACGTGCGCCCTGCCAGGCCTTCCGAGCACAACGTTGGCGCGCAGCGAGCGCGCGACGCGCTCGCGCACTCCCTCGCGTGGCCTCAGCGCGCCGGGCGGGGAGAGGCAGCACTCCGAGCGGCCACGGCGGAGCGTCGTTGCGACGTCGCCGCCCTGCGATGCACCCTCGGCCGCGTCGCGCGGCGGGGCCCGCAGCGCCCCGCACCCCGCGGAGAGCGCTCGGGACAGCGCTCGCCCTCAGCCCTCCTAGAGGCACATCCAGCCCGTGGAGCTGCCTGCACGAGGCACCAGCCCTGCCACAGCACACGCAGCAGCGCATCGATGCCAGCACTGGTTTGAGGGAAGGAACAATGACAGAAACATGAAAACTTGGAGGTCCGCGCGGATTTCTCGGATCGGCGCTGGGGCCTCCGGCGCCGCCCCTGGCGCGCTCCGCGCGCCGGGGAAGGGGGTCCAGCGCCGATCCGAGAAATCCGCGCGGACCTCCGAGTTTTTATGTTTATGCCACTTTTTGTTCCCCTATGGTTGGTTGCACCCCCGCAGCCGCCCTCCAACGCAGTCTCCGCCGCCACCCACTGGCCGCTGGCAGGTCCACTCGCCGCCGACGCGGGGCCCGTCCGCGCGGCCAGGCCACCCCCTTCTGGGTCTGGCTGCCCCGAGGTCGCCCGCAGGACTAGGCACACCATGCCCAGCGGCCGTCTGACTGCCCAGCGCACTCGATGGAGTACATCTCGCCAGTGCCTCTGTCGCCCGTCCGGGCCTGCGAGCTGGCTGCTCAACACGCCGCCGGATGGGTCGCGAGGCGGTCGCTTCTGCACAACGCCGTCGCGCTTGACCACGCGGACTCCACGGAGGCGCGCGTTATGAATCACATCACTCCAGCGGTGCACTCTGCGCTTGTGGCCGACGGTCACGGACACCAGCCGCAGAACGAGAGGTCGCACGCCCTCACCGCGACGCCCGCGTCACGAACCGCCGGCGGCTGCTGCGCGAGCCCCGGTGCAGTGACCGCTCCACCTCGGAGCTCTCGGGAGGGCGGGCCAGTGCCTCCGCGGTGCGCTCCCTTCCCGCGGCGGGGCTCCCCGAACTGCCCGCGAGCGTCATCGGCCCGGGCCTGCGGGCCCGCCCGAAGACCCTGGCGCGGAGCCACCCACAGCACACGGCACAGCCAGCAGCGAGCTCTTCGACCCAGGCGATGTGGACTGCGCCCTGCCGCCCGGCCTCGCGGAGCATCGCGGAGCTTTTCGGCCCCTTCCCCGCATTCCACCCGACGATGGGCCTCAGAACCCAATTGAGGGCGAGGACCCTCTGCAGCCCGACGGCCCCTGGCTGACTGGCTGGCGCCCGCGGCATCCCCAGCCCTCGGTCCACCGAGCGGCTCCCCAGCCACGGCCGTGGTACGGCCAACACCACCATTACCACCACCGCTACCACGACCACCACCACCACCCAGTGCCTGCGAGCACAGGAGTGACCGTGCCATCGAGCTCGGGCTCCTCGGCCGCTGAAAACCCCCCTCGCGGACCGTAGCCGCTCGGCCAGCGCTGTTTCCTGACTGGCGAGCCCGAGTTCCCCAGCCGCCCTCACCCGGCCCGCGAGCGAAATCACAGGTTTGGCTGGCGGCACTCACGGCGCAGCCCTCTCACGCGAAATTGCGGGCTCGGCAAGCTGCTCACCTCTTCCGTTCCGGAGGGCATGATCGGAGGTGCGGTGCCGATCGTGCCGCCCGCCGCTGGTGCGGTGCTCAGCATCCCCCCCGAAGGACTGCACTCTCACGGCGGCGGCTTGCCCCCAAGGCTGTCGCTGCGAGCAAGCTTGCCGCCCCCGCTCCCCTCGGGAGGGGCGCCCGCCCCCAGCGACCCCCGAGGGGCTGGACTGGTGGACAGGGAGCAGGACAAGAGCACCGGGAACGCACGGCCTCCACACGGCAGCAGGCCCTTGCCGCGAGAGGTGGCTTTCCTGCCCTCGAGGCGCTCGCCCTCGAGGCGTGCGGCGCCGCCTCCTCCTCCTCCTCCTCCTCCTCCTCCTCCCCTACCTCCTCCTCCTCCTCCTCCTCCTCCTCCTCCTCCTCCTCCTCCTCCTTCCCTCCTCCTCCTGACCCTCATCCCTCTCCTCCCTCCTCGCCTCCTGCCCTCGCCTCCTCCGGCCACCGCCCAGGTGTCCGTGCTATGGCGGCCCCGCACGGGACGAAACCTGGGGCTGCGCCGGCTGCGCCGCGTTCTACGCCAGCGAGGCTGCACTGGAGGCGAGGCCCCCCAAGACGAGGAGGAGAAGCAGGAGGAGGGAGAGGGAGAAGGCCGATGATGGTTTTCAAGGTATCCTAGGACCTTAGGAGCGTGCAGGGAGGCGAGCGGCAGCTTTGATATTCTACGTAGGAGGAGGAGGAGGAGGAGGAGGAGGAGGAGGAGGAGGAGGAAAGGGAAGGAAAGGGAAGGAAGAGGAGGAGGGAAGAGGGAAGGGTGGGAGGATGCAGCACGCAGGAGTCGCAGCTTGTATTCCCCCTCTCGAGCGAGACTAGCGAGTCGCGGGGTTGGCTTATCTTTGGGGCATGCGCTCTTAGGGTGCAGGGCACAATGGGTCACAGTAGAAGCACTAGGTTGACGCTAGGGGCCTCTCGGGCTTGGGATCGCGTTGGGATCTATTCATCACTCCTGCTCGCCCTTCCCTCGCCTTCCCCCTCCCCCAGCCACCAAGGCACGGGGCTCGCTGTTCCCATCCCTCGTCCCCTTTCTCAAAAGAAGCTCCAAGCTTCTCCCCCTCTCAGGGTTTACGATTTGGGCCTGGGGTGGAGGAGGGTCACGTTTGCACTCGCCTGGTCGAGCGGCCCCCCTGCTGCGGGAGCGCGCCAGTCCTCGCCACCCTGCTCCCTCGCAGGGCGAAGGGGGCCTCGGGAATAACAAGTTGCACGCGCGGCATGGTTTTTGCACGAGGGAGGGCGAGGACTAGGGAAAGCGGAGGGAGGAGGGGGTGTCATTCCCCATATCCTAGCAAGGCCTTAGGAGGTCAAAGCGGCCACCTAAGTAAGAGAAGATTCAGGCTGCCAGCATGTCCTTTTCGGGCCATGCAGGTCAAGATGCGCAACGCGATTCAGCAGGTTGCGCCCAACCCGCCCATAGCACTCACGATTCCCGAAACTTCAGTTGAGGACTTGGCGAACGCAGGTGAAGATGCACAGTCGTTGGCCCAGTCCGAAGCTGTCACGAAGTTCAAGAGGTTGGTTGCTGATCTACTTCTTCCCGCCTCTTCGGGCAGCGTCGGTGCTCGGGATGGCGCTGGAGGCCCACGGCAGCAGGCTCCAGGAGGTGAACATCGGCCAGTACCAGAAGATATGGATTTGGCCTAAAGTCCAGAAGCCACAGGTCGAGAAGCTCATCGAGGCTGGTCGCAAGGGCCCACCCGACCACAAGGCGGTCTTCACCAAGCAGTTGTTGGAGATGGGCGTCAAGGCCAAGCGTGCCAAGTCGAGCGGGTAATGATCCACTCCACACAACACATTGCATCTGGGCTCCCTGTGTCATCTGAAAGCTGTCATGTCCCTCCGCATCGAGGTGCGCGCAGTCTGGCGATGTTGAACGATACCGCCCACTCCATTGAAACGTTCAATGGTTCTTCGTTGAACACTCTTCGCGGGCGCTTGGCCGAGACGAATGCCATGGCGGCGCGCGCCCTCGAGGCGGGCGTTTCGGACATTTTCCTTGACCAGATGACTGCGTCAGCCCGCGGTCTTGGATAGCATTCACTTTCTTACCCGTCTCGCATCAATCCCGAGACGGGCAAATTTTCGCCCGGCGCGGCTGCCTTCGCCAGGCCGGCCATTGGCATGAGATGGCCAGGGGTGGGGGAGGCGATATCGCGGCACATCGCTTCGCCAAGGCTTTGATTTACCTTCCAGGTTCGCATGCCATCACAGTTTTTCCGTCCACGCACGTTCGGCCGAGGACCTCAGCGAGGCCAATCTCGAGATTCCAAGCTCCCCAGAGCGCTCTATATCGGACATGAGTCACGCGCTCGCAGCTGGCGACTGCCACTTGAGCCCCGAAGTTTGGGAATGAGCTCGTTTTCTTGGGCAGATGGGCACGGCCGTCGCCGCGGGCCCGCCCGGTCGCGCACGCGCGCGGGCCCCTTTCGTCGAACCGCGCCGTCGACCACTTCGCGATGGATCCTGGACTCGATCGCTTCATCTGGGGCGTTCGGGTCGAGCTCGCATGGGAAGTAAAACCAAATCGCCCGGCTCGGCTCAAGCATCGGAAAGATCCACTCCACGTCGCGCAGCTCGCGCGCAGGGCCCACAGGCGCTGCCCCGCCGACCCCCCCTCTAGACTTGAACCCGCATTCCCTTTCCAGTTGCGACGCGCACGTGCTCACGCTGCGCAAGCTGTCTCACATGCCGAGCTTGCTCCAGCTAGACCAGCGCGGCAGGCGCCCACCAACGCCCGGGGCCAATTCGTCGATTGCGCGGAGGTTGAGCTCTGCAAGTTTTCCGGGGTTGAGCCGAAATACATCGGGGAGGAGAGCCGCGCGATTAAGGCATCTTGGGTTCGATATTTCTGCGATGCCCCAAGTTCCCAGATGAAGATTCAGATCGCCAACGGGTGCAAGTGGCCCGCTTTCGCGTCAAACGAGTTGCACGTTTCAGCCACCAGCACGACGAACTGCGACGCGCTCGCGCGCCAGCAGCCCGAGGCCCCCCGCGGCACTCCCGCCCCTGGGGCGGCCTGAGCCCCCGACCGGATGCATCTCTCAACGGCGCGCGCGAGATAGCTGCAGGCTAGCGCGCGGACCGCAAGCGCGATGAGGCGCGGCGCGAGCGCGCCGAGCAGGTTCTACAGGACATCCAGGGCCAAAGGGGGGGGGGGAGATGGCGGACACGGAGGTCGGGCGTGGAGAGTCGGAGCGGGGAGGGAGGCGCCAGGAGTTGCGGAAAGGAGGAGGAGGAGGAGGAGGAGGAGCCGACTTAGACGAGGCTATCTCCAATGGGAGAAGGCGCCCAGGGCATCTCGGGGCCCCCGGCGACGAGCGGCTGAGGCAGGCTCGGCGAGGCCCGCGCATGAGGTCTCTCCAAGCTCCAGACGAAGTGGCCGCCCGCGGTCGTTCAGTGTTCTCCTGGGCTATGATCCTCGTACCCCGCTTGTTCGTTGCAGCCAGAAGCTCAGAAGGAGGCGGAATCAAGCTCGCGGCGCGTTCTTTCAGCCAGCGCGCATCGCAGGCGCTGGATGGACCCAACCCAAGGCAGGGGGCCTGCCTCGGCGACCCGGGGCGCGAGGTCCTGGCCTTGCTCTACGAGCCGGTCGAACGACTTGGTTTTTTGTTGCTGCGCAGCTGCTGCAGGCGCTGGCGCCGCTAGAAGCCCGAATGTAGCTTGAGGCCCATCCTGCCCCTGAGGGATTCCCCGCTTGTGCCCGGGGGCGGCTTCGTCGAGGCCAATCCGGCGATGCCTTGAACGGGCCCATCGGCCCTGCTGCGGCTTGCCGGGCGCGGGCACAGTTCGGGGCCGGCCGCCGGGCATCAAAGTCCACGGGCAGGGCAGGCAGCTTCTGGCGGCCACAGCACTGCTGGCTTCATTGGAGACGGCACGCATCACTATGAGCATGTCGCGTTAGTTTGGTCAAGGGATGGGGCCATGTACTGGGGGGGCCCTAAGGTGCTCATCAGGGTGTTGCATAACTCTGGAGAAGGCTTCATCACTCCCCGCTCATCACTCCCCGCTCCGAATTCACGCAGGCCCAGGCAGGACTTCCTGCGGGGGGGGGGGAGCAGGTTTAACGATGTGTTCGTCCGAGTTCACGCTATGTTTGAGTTCGACGCTCGCACGCCGAGGCGCCCACCGGCCTCCTCGGGCCCCTACGCAGACGACGACGCGGTCGTTGCATGCGGCGAGGAGGATGAGATTGTCGCGGCTGCCACGGGGGCGGCAGTCGACCTCGAGCACATAGTTGCCATCCGCCCCAACGCTGGCCTCGCGGAAGACAGGGCCGTCAGCTTCGCATCCTCAAAGCGCTTGGCGAACGAGCTTTCCCGTTGTCTTCGCGTTTCCTGCCTTTTGGCGGCGGCCAACGCCACGGCATCCCCGGGGGTCGACTCAGCGCAAGGACAGAGAAGAGGATGCCAGCGTGGTTGAGCTGAGAGGGAGGATTTGTTTAAAGTTATACGCCGTCGTCATAGGCTGCTTTCGCATGACCGACGCAAGCTTTATCGCAATCCGCTTAGGATGCGCAAGATCTGCGTTGCTGGAGTTCGACCTGCGGCAGGCTGCGGAAGCATGGTCTTAGGTTTGTCAGATTCCAAAGCCAGGTCGTTGCAAAGTACCTTGCTGACTGGCAGGGGCCCTGCGCATCGTGGGACGCCTCTCACGGTGAAAGTAGCGGCGAACGGAGATTCCGCTGGGAAGCAGGCAGTGCCCCCCGCCCACCAATGTGCCATTAGCATATGGAGGGGCACGACTCGCCCTGAGTCTAGCCCCATCTCCTTCCGTGAGCACATTAAAGGTTTGGATTGGCATTACGTCTAATCATAGGCTCTGGAAAAATATGCCTCGGGGTCCACCCCCGAGGACCCCTACATCGCATGTTACTTGCCATCGGCGGATTGGGTGGAGTGCTGAAGGTCTACTGCCTGGAAAGATGAGGGCATTCGTCATCGACCTGTTATACACATCTCCAGCTATGCTCAAAGCGCTGCAGGAAGGGATGCAAAGATGTCATGAGCGCCGCCAGAGTGGCCCCTGACACCCTGCGCGGGCTTTTGCGCTCGAAGAAAGTTCCAGGACGCTGGAATCATTGGACGTGCGCAGCTTTCTCTGGAGGCGCCTTAGAGCCGCGCATACTCTTTTAGAAAATTGTGTTCTTACGGATTCTCACGGCTAGCGTACCAGAATTGGCCTGTTGGAAAGATTCAGGACTGTCAAGGCGCAACAGTTACGTTTGTTTCGCGGTGGTGGGGTCCCAGAAGCGTTGTTTTGGCACGAGTACGGATCGCCAAGATGCGACAGTCAGGTTGATTCGTGGCGTTGGAGTCCCGAGAATGATGTTCTGGCACGTTTCAGGATATTCGAAAGAGCATGTTCTACCGCTGCTGGCGCAAAACCGAGGGGGGTCACTGGGGGTTCCCAACCCGTCCCCCCCCCCCCTCCTCGAAAACCGGGGGGCGGTCACTACTGGTTCGAACCCCTCCCCCCCCAGTCCATCATGAAAACGGAGGAACACTACCAGTTCGAACCCCCCCCTCGAAAACCAGGGGGGGCCACTACTGGTTCGACCCCCCCCCCGTTTCGCCGCCGGCAAACGATTCCCGCTCCTCGGGACAGTTGGACAATGGTGGGGGATATTGGGACAGTGGTGGGAACAGTGGTGGTGGGGACTGGTGCGGGGACAGTGGGACAATGGTGCGGACAGTGGTGGGGACGGTGGTGGTGGGGACAGTGGCGAGGGGACAGCGGGACAGTGGTGGGGACAGTGGGACAGGAGGGTAGTGGTGGGGACAGTGGTGAAGGCGGTGGTGAGGACAGTGGTGGGACAGTAGTACAGTGGGGAGAGTGGTGGGGACAGTGAGGACATTGGGACAGTGGTGAGGACAGTGGAGACGGTGGGACAACACAGTGGGACAGCGGCGGGGACAGAGGGACAGTGGTGGGCACAGTGGGGACAGTGGAACTGTGGTGGGGACCGTGGGGAAAGTGGGGAGAGTGGGACCGTGGTGGGACAACGGTGGGGAGAGTGGGGACAGTGATAAACTGGCGGGGGCACTGGTGGGGACAGCGGGGACAATGGTGGGAATAGTGGGGACACTGGGACACTGGTGGGGACTCTGGGACAGTGGTGGGGACGGTGGTGGTGGGGACAGTGGTGTGGGGACAGTGGGAACTTGGTGGGGACAGTGGGACAGTGGTGGGGACAGTGGTGGTGGGGAGGACGGCGGTGGGACAATGGGACAGAGGTACAGTGGGGACAATAATGGGGACAGTGATGGGAACAGTGGGACAGCGGCGGGGACAGTGGGACAGTGGGGACAGTGGGACAGTGGTTGGAACCGTGGGGGAAGTGGGGAGAGTGGGACCGTGGTGGGAACAGTCGTGGGGACAGTGGGGACAGTGCGACAGTGGTGGGGGCACTGGTGGGGACAGTGGGGACGCTGGTGAGAACAGTGGGGACGCTGGTGGTGAGGACAGTGGTGCTGGGGACAGCAGTGGGGGATGTGGCGCGGACGGTGGTAGGGACCCAGGAGTCGTTTGCAGGCGGTGAGCGTGGGGCGGGGGGGAAGGGTTCGAACCGGTAGTGACCCCTCCCGGTTTTCTAGAGGGGAGGGGGGGGGTCGAACTGACCCCCCCCCGGGTTTTTTGTTGGGGGGAGGGGGGGGGTCGAACCGGTAGTGACCCCCCCCTGTTTTCTGGCGGGGGCGGGGTTCGAATTGGTAGTAACCCCCTCCCAGCTTTCTGGGGGGGGGGTTCGAACCCGTAGTGACCCCCCCCGGTTTTCCTGAGGGGCGGGGGGGGGCCGAACCGGTAGTGACCCCCCACGGTTTTCCGGAGGGGGGGTGGGCGTGTTCGAACCAGTAGTGACCCCCCTTCGGTTTTCCGGAGGGGGGGGAGGGGGGGTTCGAACTGGTAGTGACCCTCCCGGTTTTCCGGAGGCGGGGGTGGGGTTCGATGTGGTAGTGACCTACCCCGGTGTTTGCCGGGGGGGGAAGGGGGTGGGGGGTTCCAGCAGGGGGGGGGGGGGGATTTTTGGAGGGGGGGGGACCCCCAGGTTACGGAGGAAGAGGGGGGGAATTTTCCTCAGTAAAGCGGCGGTGGATCACGCTCTCTTGGATCTTCAAACGGTTGTTTCCCAACGGGGCACTTCCCGCATTGGTAAGGAATCCTTGTAGGGGCCTGTGAAAAGGGAGCTTGGGGGAGGGTTTATTCCAACATCGTTGATGGGCCTTGGGTTTACACTGATCTTCCTCCTCCTCCTCCTCCTCCTCCTCTCCTCCTCCTCCTCCTCCTCCTCCTCCTCCTCCTCCTCCTCCTCCTCCTCCTCCTCCTCCTCCTCCTCCTCCGTCTCCTCCTCCTTTCTTTTGGTTTGCATTCGCATTATTACTCGCATTATTATTAGTATTATGATTAGTAGTATTAGTATTGCTATTAGTAGTATTATTAGTATTAGTATTATTATTAGTATTCTTATTATTATTATTTTTATTATTATTATTAATATTATTGTTATTATTATTATTATAATTATTGATAGTAGTATTAGTATTATTAGTATTATTATTATTATTATTATTATTATTAGTATTATTAGTATTATTAGTACTATTATTATGTTATTAGTATTAGTATGATTACTATTACTTTTATTATAATTATAATAATTATTATTACTACTAATATTATTATTTATTATTATTGTTATTACTCCTCCTCCTCATCATCGTCATCATCATTATTAGCATTATCATTATCATCATCACCATCATCATCATCATCATCATCATCATCATCATCATCCCCCTCATCATCATCATTATCATTAATCAGAATCATCACCACCATCGTCATGAGCATGATCAGAATCAGCATCATCATCATCATCATCATCATCATCATCATCATCATCATCATCATCATCATCATCATCATCATAATCATAATCATAATCATCATCATGCTCCTCCTCCTCATCATCATCCTCCTCCTCCTCCTCCTCCTGCTCCTCCTCCTCCTCCTCCTCATCCTCCTCCTCCTCCTCCTCCTCCTCCCCCTCCTCCGTTGCCCCGCAGAAAGGCGGAAAGGGACGGAGGGAGGAGGAGAGGAGGCAGCCGCTCACAGAGTGCAGAACTAGCGCCCCACCCCGCGGAGGAGCACCAGCGATCAGCCCACCACCGTGGCAGGATCGAGCCCCACCAGGTGCTAGACAGCGAGGGCGAGGCTCGGGACGATCGAAATTGGCATGGAAAGCACGGGCGCAAAGGTCGACAGCGCGTCTTGTACGATCTGAGCAGGGCACGCTGTCGGTGTCGCCGTAGACGCTGTCCAGTTGGGACAGAAGGTCGCCTGCACAACAGCGGCCGCTGTCGGTTTGGGGCAACGTTTATGATTGCGCATATCGCCCATGTTTTCCGTACCCGCTGCGGGCGTCCGAAAAAGGACAGTTTCTTCCAGCAGCGCTGGCGCGAGCATCTGGAGCGGCAGGAGCGCCTGCGGCAGCTGGCGCCGCCGGCGCAGCGCCCGCCGGCGATGAGCCCTCCGGCGCAGAGCCCGCCGGCGCCGAGCCCGCCGCTGCTGCTGAAGAAGCTCCCGCCCCCGCCGGCGGCGCCGAGGACGCGGCCGACGCCGCCCCGCCCGCCGGCGCCGAGCCCGCCGCTGCTGCTGAAGAAGCTCCCGCCCCTGTCGGCGGCGCCGAGGACGCTGGTGAACCGTGTCAAAAGGATGCAGAGTCGAGACCCGGACGCCAGGGAGCAGTGGTCCGCCCTCTGTGTCAAGCACGGCGGGGGCGTGCGCGACCCTGCCAGGCACGACGCGTCGTTTCTCCAGAGCTTCATCGCCCGGTACCACAACGGCAAGAAGGGCACAGCGTGACATTCCCGCCGCAGGCCGCCGCCCGCACGGGTCGCGCGGGCCCCGAGGCGGCAGCGCACGGTCCGGGTGCGGGCCGAGGGCGCCGCCGCGTTCTCGGGCGGCGCGCGGCTGGCCTGGACAGCAGCGGGGGCCTCCCAGCTGCGGGCGCGGGAGCAGACGGGGGCTCGAGTGGGGGATCGACTGCAGAATTCGTTTACCCCAAATTCTGGAGGCTTCGCGTATCCCCACCAGATTCCGTAGCCCCTCTGGCTCAAGCATAATTTTTGACGCTTCGCGTATCCCCACCAGCTACGGCAGCTGGTGGGGATACGCGAAGCCGTCTCGGCTGGAGCCCGCCCCCGGACAGGTTCGCGGCCGCCGGCGCCTCCGCCTCGCCATGTCTGCCCGCGGCGGCGCCCCGCTGCCTGGCGCCGACGGCGCCGCACGCTCTGCCGCGGCCGCCGGCGCGGCCGCCGCTCCCCGCGCGGCCGCGGCGGCCTCGGCCGCCGCCTGCCCCGCGGCCGCTGCTGCTCGGCCTGCGGGCCTGCCCCGCGGCCCGCGGCCTGCCTCCTCGACGCGCGCGGCGGCTGCGGCAGCGGCGCGCCGCTGCTGCTCGGTCTGCGGGCCCTGCTGCCGCCGGCCCCCCTACCGCGACTGCCGCGGGCCCCGAGGGCGCTCCCCGCGCCGCGGCGGCCTCCGCGGCCGCGGCGGCTCCGCCGCCCCGCGCGGCCCGCCCGCCGCCAAGTGCCGCGGGCAGCCGCGGACGCCGCTTGCGCCCTCCGCGCCGCGGACGCCGCCTGCGCAACGGGCGCCAACGGCGTCGCGGGCGCGGCCGGCTCCCTGGGAGCCGCGGGTCCCGCCAACGCTGCAGGAGCCGCGGGCGCCGCCGGCGCCTCGGGCGCGGCCTGCGCCGCGGGCGCCGGCCGCCGCGGCCGCCGCGGAGGCCGCCGCCGCGGCAGCTGCCGCAGGCCTTTGGGCCGCGGCGGCCGCCCTCTCCCGCGCAGCGGCCGCCGCCGCCGCCGCAGTGACAGCGGCAGGCGGGCCGCCTGGCCTGGCGCAGGGCTCCCAGCTCCTCGGCCAGCCCTGCGGCCAGCCCGGCTGCCAGCCCCGCGGCCAGCCCCACGGCCAACCCCACGGCCTGCCACGGCCAGCCCCCCGGCCAGCTCCTCGCCGGCGGCCACCGCTCGGCCACCCCGCCTGCCGCCGCTGCCTGCCCTTCGCCGGCGGCGGCGGCGGCGCTGCCGCCGCCACCACTCCCCTCCGGCGGCGGCGGCCCGGCGGCGCCGTGGCCGGCGTCGCGGCGGCCCTCGCGGCGGCTGCTGCTGCTGCTGCTGGCGGCGCCGCCGCCGCCCCCGCTGCCGCCGCCGCCGCCGCCCCCCCTCCGGCGGCGACGACGGCCAGCGGCGCCGTGGCCAGCGTGGCTGCCGCGCTCGCGGCGGCCGCTGCCGCTGCCGGCTCCTCGCCGGCGGCGGCGGCGGCGGTTGGCGCGGTGGCCAGCGCGGCGGCGCGCGGCTGGCCCGACGGCCTCCCCCACTGCCAGCCCGGCGGGCAGCCCCCCGGCCTGCCCGTCCGCCAGCCGCACGGCCAGCCCCAAGGCCAGCCTGGCGGCCTGCCCCCCGCGCAGCCCGACGGCCAGCCCCGCGGCCTGCTTGGCTGCCAGCCCCGCGGCCCGCGCGACGACCAGCCAGCAATTCAGACGACCGTCAGCCGCAACCCTGGGGACGAGGGACCCGCGAGAGCTCAAAGCACCCTCTCTGACTGTCAGAAGGAGGTACCCTTGCTCCCTGACGACCTTCCGGGCACCCCTGGCGGCCAGCAGACCCCGCAGGAAGACACAGGGGAAGGAAACGGAACGGGTCAGAAGGAGGTACCCCCGCTCCCTGACGCCCTTCCGGGCACCCCTGGCGGCCAGCAGACTGGGCAAGAAGACACAGGCGAAGAGAGATCTTCAAGCACTCTTGCAGCCGTCAGCGGCAGCCCTGGCGGGCAGAGACCCACAACAGCTCAGACGGCCGTCAGCCGCAACCCCGGTGACGAGGGCCCCACGAGACTTCAAGGCACCCCCTCCGAAGCTCAGAAGGAGGCACCCTTGCTCCCTCAGCTGCAGCTGCAGCAGCAGCAACAGCAACAGCAGCAGCAGCGGCAGCCGCAGAGACCCACAACAGCTCAGACAGCCGTCTGCCGCAACCCTGAGCCGAGGGACCCGCGAGACCTCAAGGCACCCTCTCTGACGGTCAGAAGGAGGCACCCCTGCTCCCTAACGGCTTTCCAGGCACCCCTGGAAGCCAGCAGAACCCACAGGAAGCCACAGGGTCCTAGGCCAGAAGGGTCTGAACGAGGTACCCTTGCTCCCTGATCCCCGGTCTCCGAGCCCACAAGGCACTCTCGCATCTCAGTGCCCGAGCCATCTTCACGACTCCACGGGTAGACAGGGGTTGGCCTCCGAAAGTGCGGACGACAGCCGCAACAGTCCGCGAAGCGATATCCTGGACTAGCAGGGGCTCGATATCGCGCCATACCCACCTTCTCCACAAAATAGGCAGACCGTCAACAATCCTCTGGGAACGCCACAGACCCAACGCGGGGGCCACGGACCAGCCGTTCAGACGCAGGACATCGAAGCCATCCGCCGGCTCGTCGGGAGAAACCCCTTCGCGCTCATATGCCCTCCTTCCCCTGCCAGCGAGCCCACCCGAACGGACGGCGAACCTCAGACGCTCCCTCCAGACGCCCAGGACACGCCTGACAAAGAAGCTTGTGCTCCGGCAATGGAAGCGGCGTCGCCGTACGCGCACGCACCTGGCACGACCAGCGGCGCCCCCGCGCCCGGCGAGAGTCTCGCGGCGACCGAAGGGGGCGCGCCCGTGAACGACGGCGGGCACAGGCCCGAAGGCGAACGCCAGCGAAAGGGGCCTCTCCCCGCACACCCCGGGGTTGCGTCCGCCCAGGCCGCCGGGGGCGATCCGGCCCCTGCCTGGCGGCCAACTACGCGGCCCGCACCTTCCCGCAGGGCCCCGCCAGGCGTGCATCCGGAACTGTTACAAACAGATTCCGAACCCTCCGCGCAGGACAGCGGGGCTGGTTCGCCGGAGACTTTCGGCCAGAACACGCGGCAGCGCCAATGGCCAGAGCCGCGCCAATGGCCAGAGCCCTCAGACCCCGACACGGGACAACAGCTGCACAAAGCAAAGATCGGCACCACCCAGTGGGACCTTCCCGGGGAGACTCCCGGCGAGGCGACGAGGCGGCCCCAAGTCACCCTGGGGGCAATGTTCACAGGCACCTGGCACGCTTTCGCCATGCAGCAGGCCGCGCCCGGCAGCAAAGGCTCGCTCGACCCGCTACGGCACGACCCGCAAACTTGCCTTCACTTCCTGGATGCCTTCCGCAGCCACAAGTGCGACGTACGGGCCGTCAGCGACGCGCTGGGCCTCGGCGTCGACTGGGCCGGGCTGCGGCGTCGGCACCCGGGTCGAAGCGGCGGGGCGGGCAGGGGTCGCCAGGCGGCAAAGGGCCACCCGGACACCCGCGCACCCAGGAAGGGCAAGAAACAGTGGCTGGTCGTCTCCCCATAGCAGCCGTTCGCTGCCCCCCCGTCGTGGCACCGCCCTGGCAGTGAAGGGCTCGCGCGTGCCCCTGTCCAGCGGCTGCATCTCCGGGCGCCCGCCCCGTCGCCCCCCCCGGCGGGGAGGGGCCCGCGGGGCTCAAGGCACTCTGCGTCCCGGTGCTGTCGGCCAAGGGCCGTATGCCGCCACCCCCCCGTGCACGCTCCGTCTTCACTCAACCCATAGCGGCGGCTGGCCGCGACCCTGGATCCACGCGGGGTGCAGCTGAGACCTCGGGTTCGGGACCTCCCACGGGTGCTCAAAGGACTCTCGCATCCCGGTGCTGTCCGCCAAGGGCCGTCTGTCGCCACCCTCCGTGGACGCTCCGTCTTCACTCAACCCAGAGCGGCGGTTGGCCGCGACCCTGGAGCAGAGACTACGGGCACGTGGCATCCCACGGGGGTTCAGGGTACTCTTGCATCCCGGAGCTGTCTGACAAGGGCCGCCTGCCGCCACCCTCCGTGGGTGCTTTGTTTTCCCCCAACCCAGCGACGGCTTGCCGCGTCCCTGGATCCACGCGGGGAGTAGCTGCGACTACGAGCACGACACCCCCCCTCTACACTTCCGCAGCGGTCAGTGACGTCCCTGGTTGTACCACCACACACACACACCATGGATGCGTCGGCCTTCGAGGTGGCAGCACTGCCCTCAGTGAGTCAGTCCACTGGCGGCAGGCTGCCCACCCTGGACCACACAGCTGTGGACGAAAAGATCGACCGTTCGGTCTTACCTTCCTCTCAGCGGCGGTTAGCTGCGACCCTGGATGCACGCGGGGGGCAGCAGAGACTACGACCTCGGGGCCTCCCGCGGGAGCTCAAGGTACTCTTGCATCCAGGTGCTGTCGGCCTAGGGCCGTCTGCCGCCACCGCCCGTGCACGCTCCGTCTTCACTCAACCCAGAGCGGCGGTGGCCGCGCCCGTGGATCCACGCGGGGAGTTGCAGAGACTTCGAGCACGGGGCATCCCGCGGGAGCTCAAGGCACTCCACGCGGGGAGTAGCATAGACTACGGGCACGAGGCTCCCCACGGGGGCTCAGGGTACTCTTGCATCCGGCGCTGTCTGACAAGGGCCGTCTGCCGCCACCCTCCGTGGGTGTTTCGTCGTCGCCCAGCCCAGAGCGGCGGTTTGCTGTGACCCTGGATCCACGCGGGGAGCTGCTGTGACTACGGGCACGACACCTCCTCACTTCACTTCAGCAGCGGTCTGCGGCGTCCCTGGACGCACCACCACACACACCCCATGGATGCGTCGGCCTTCGAGGTGGCAGCACTGCCCTCAGCGAGTCAGCCCACTGGCTTCAGACTGCCCACCCTGGACCACACCAGCAGTGGACGAAAAGATCGGCCGTTCGCTATTACCTTCCTCTCGGCGGCGGTTAGCTGCGACCCTGGATGCACGCGGGGGGCAGCAGAGACTACGGGCACGAGGTATCCCGCGGGAGCTCAAGGTACTCTTGCATCCCGGTGCTGTCGGCCAAGGGCCGTCTGCCGCCACCCCCCGTGCCCGCTCCGTTTTCGCTCAACCCAGAGCGGCGGTTTG